ATTCAGTAGACCTGGGGAAGGGCCCAAGAGTCTGCATTTCTAACAGGCTCCCGGGTACCGACAGCTTGGACCACACTTTAGGTGGCATCACTTCAGAGTATTATGGATGCCTGTGTGTAACGTGCTATTAACATGCGCGCACACACGCATAGGTAAGCTTCACCCCCATCTCAACTAGGATCCTTAGTTTTCGCCCTCAAACCTGGAAATTAATTGCTACTGTCAAACAACTTAGCACAAACAAAAACAGCATTCAGCCTAGGAGAGTCTGCCAAGTAAGCACTAGAAAATGTCTCTCTGAAGTCAAGTCAAAGAAGGCTTCCCAAAGAACGTGACATTCGAGCTACATTCTGAAGGCTGACCGACTGGTAGTTTGCCAGATGGAGGGTATGTGTGGAGCGGGGGCGGGGTGGGGAAGCCAGGACAGGAAATTCCAGACAGGAGGAACGGCGGTTAGAGGTGAGATGACTGTAAACCACGCAGGAGTGGGGGAACATCTTCTAATCAACGAGTTTGAATTTTATTTTGAAATATTTAGAAGTCACCTAATCACTAGAAGATTATATATATTTTAATTCACCTAATTTACTAATGTTATCTCTTCTACTCTCAGTGAAATATACCCCCCTGAGAAACTGAAAATCAAAATTACATTCCTGGAATTCAAGGATAATATTATGGCTATATCCATCTTTTTTGAATGACACATTTAAAGATTTTATTTTGTATTCCTTTAGTAAAACATTATGGTCCTTTCTTTTTTCCACATTACAACATCTCCAAATTAGTAAAGTAACAGCAGTTGTTTCAACTTAGTAACATCAGTGAATATAAATAAGTGATTATCGACATCCATGCTTATTGAAGATTCTTGAATATCAGGGTGGCTAAGATTGAGGCTTCTAAGACACTGGTAAACACAATTCACAATGACATCTCAGTTGAAAGTTAAGCAAGTCTCTCTTCATGACTTTTTAAATCTCTCTTAGCGGTAAAAATAATTTTTTATAAAGGGGATTGGGGAGCTGGGTGAAAAGGTGAAGGGATTAAGAAGTACAAATTGGTAGTTACAAAACAGTCACGGGGATAAAAGGACAGCATAGGGAATATACTCAATAACATTGTAATAACTGTGTATGTTGTCAGGTGGGTAGTAGACTTATGTGGGGTGATTGCTTTGTTGAAAGTTATATAAATGTCTAATCACTATACTTAAACTAATATATTATTGTGTGTCAAGTGTAATAGGAAAAAAACTTTATTTGAAAAAATATAATGGAAAATTTCAAGGTAGTTTTAAAATCCAGAATCTCATAGTCTATCTATATTTGATCCTTAACAAACTGGAATATTGTCATTTGGTAATTTTGTTGCAAGGATGCTTCTGCAAAACTTTTTGATGTAAGTGTGTAGAAGAAATCCCAAGGTTACCAATTTGTGTATTGCCTTTTGTTTTCCTGCCAATGCTGCACCCCTAATTCTATAGCTTCCAAGTTTACACAAAAAAAGTCTTGTAAATATGTAGGTACGTATGTGTGCACACGTGTGTACATATATACATATATATGCATATATATACACATATATATCAATTCTCTTGTTTATATAAATATATGCCATATATGTTTCTTACATATTTAATAATATATACTTAATACATATTTAACAATATACATTTAATACATATTTAAACTAAAGAATTAGGAAAACTGTATCTTTTTAGCTATGTAATTATAGGTATAAATTATTTAAGGAGAACAAACTAAAGGTTATGATTATCTCTTTCAACAAAGAAAAGTTTTCTAGAACTTGGTTCTAGAACAGTTATTATCAAATATTTTAATACGGGATTTGGAGAAAAGAAAACTCAATGCAACCTATTCCTGCGTGGATGGCACAATACTTTTTCTAGCAGGTAAATACAGTTTTGATAAATTTAAATTGCCAATAGGTTTTTTGCAATTGAGTCATACAAAAAATAATAATCTCTTTTATAAAAAGAAAAGGAACATTCATCATACACAGTTGCATTTTAACCCACATAAGAGTAACATGACCTGCATCACATGTAATGGAAGCCAGACTCGAGGGAGCTGGGCTGAGTGGCCAGATGGTCCAACGACAAGCTGGAGTCAGTAAGAACCATTTTGGAAACAGAGATCCTCTCCATGATCAAATCTTCTTGTCATCCCTAGCGAATAGTCACACATCCAAGGCCAAATCACCATGGAGTTAGAAAGGAACAGAGCGGATGAAAATTAAGCCCAGCTGATGAAACACTCTGACTCTGACCGGTGATCAGGCCGCACAGCTGATAACGGGCAGTGGCTGGAAGAGATGCTAAGAGTCAATGATAGTTACAGCTAACATGGATTTAGTGTTCATTCATGTACCAAACACTGTTTCAATCCCTTTTCGTACATTAATCCATTTAATCCACACGACAGCTCTTTGGGGTAAGTAACATTATCATCCCCATTTTATACGTGAGAAAAATGAATCACAAAAACGTGTTTCTTTTTGTTTTGGGGTGTTTTTTGTTTTTTGTTTTTTTTTAATAATGTCCATTCTCTTGTAACTAGTAAGTTAGGAAACCAGAGCTCAATCCCAGGAAATAACTGCCACCCCTAATAATCGACTGCACCCAAAGTATGTAGTAAAGCCTTTAAAGACATGAACAACCTGCAGGAAAGCCATTGGCAGAGTCTGTACCATACTATGTGCACTTAAAGGAATCCGCCTTAGGAGACAAAAATTACAGCGAGGCTTGCTTCAGACAGCAGAAAATATGACTCGTGAAAGTCATTATTCAAAGAAAGCCTAAAGGGTAGAATCTGTAATTCTTTACAGCAGGAGATTTAACGTAGTTCTAGATTTGGTTGTCTAGAAATGTGTGTTATTGCCAGTGATAAACTCACATGTTAGCATGACCATACCCTTTGAATGGATAGATGTACCTTGAATGTTTATAATGTTAAGAGAGAAAATATACATTAGTGAGGAATGATTTATATATATGTAAATATCTGTTTTTGAAATCTCACAGGAAATTTTCTTATGCATAGAGTTTTGAGGCCCAGTGATGGCATCTACCCTTTTGGCTTTCACCTGGGGAAGGAATGTAGACTAGTTCTAATGTGAACATTCTATAGTGATGTTTCTTTTGCTTCAGCCAGATCAGTAAATGCAAGCAACCTAACTGGGAGTGAAAATGGTGAGGGGTGGGTTTGGGGGTCAATCTATAAAGATAATAATGCTACATAGCAATTTCTTAACCTTAGTGCATGAGAAGGATGGCCTTGGCTGATCTCACCTGGGCTTATGCCTTTCTCAGTGGTCAACTGCACATGATCTGTGTACCCCTGCTGATCTTAGACGAGCTCACTCAAGTGCCTGGGTGGGGGCTGGCCAGCGGATGATCTAGTTTGGCCTTGGCTGGACTGGTGGGGATGACTCATCTATATCTGTATTTCATCCTCCAGCAGGCCAGGCGAGGCATATTCATGTAGCCATGCAGAGAAGCAAAAGAAGCAAGCCCCAATGCTTAAAAATATTTAAATTTTCTTCTTTTGTCTCATTTGTTAATATCTCATTGGCCAAAGCAATTTACATGGGTTAAGACCAAGAGTCAGATTGAGAGGACTCAACAATACTGCACGGCAAAACAAAACAAAACAAAACAGAAAATGGGTACAGGGTGGGGTAAAGAATTAGGACCATTAATACAATTTATTTTTAGGAAAACACCCCTTCCCCCAGATTATGGGAGGTAGGGTTCATTTTGGTTTTCAGACTGCAAACTTACAAATTAATATTTAGTTTATTCAATCAAATAAACTAACAAAAGCCCCTCCCAGGCATGGTAGTACATTGATCAAGTTTGTTAGGCCAATATGGCTCTTTTTAAGTTCATTCATTTTCTTTCTTTTTTTCTTTATTGATATTAGAGAGAGAGGAAGGGAGAGGGAGAGAGATAGAAACCTCGATGAGAACATGGATTGGCCGCCTCCTGCATGCCCCCCACTGGGGATCAGGCCCACAACCTGGGCAAGTGCTCTGACCAGGAATGGAACCAGCAACCTCTTGGTGCATGGGTCAACACTCAATCCTGACCACACCAGCCAGGCAAATTCATTCATTTTCAAATATGTTTGTGACAATTACAAGAGGCAGTTTTCACAGTCAAGTAGGGATGTGGAAGGGGTGTCAGTTCTCAAACATTGATTTTGCCGTCATGTTTGTAAAAGATTCTCATTTTGCAAAAGTTATTGTTAGAAGAGGAGTTCTGTCAGACTTTAGTGTGGGTCACTTTTTCTTAGGAAATAAGTCTACATAGTCACTCAGGACCATAGTCCACCCCCATCCATGATTCATTTGTGGGGCTATATCCTTTGGCTATATTTTCTCACGTGGGTTCACTTAATATTCAAATCATTAGTCTCCCCGGGTTTCTCACTAAATTTTACGGGGAAGTTGGAGTGAAAGGGGTCGGATGAATAATCAACTTCTAGCCTTTATGAAATTGTAGAGGATAATGAGAAAAAATAGCTAATTTGGTTGCAATTAGCAAAATAGCCCCCTTTGTAGAAAGAATCTCCTGAGTACCTCTTTCCAAAATAGAATTTGACAGTTGCCGCAGTGAAAACAGTTGATTCGAGGGAGAAATATTTATCCAAACACAAATACTGGTTATGAATATGTTTCTAACATAACTGGAAGGGGTCGGCACTTGCCTCTTTACTTCTAAGGCAAGTTCACATTCTGCTTCAACTGATTATTTTTTCAACAATATTTGCTATATTCTTTCATGGTCTGCCAGTACTTTTTTGAAGCCCAGTTAGATCAGCGGCCAACAGAGTGGAGACCAAAAGGGGCCAAATATCTCTCCAGAAGCAAGACTACTTCAAAAGATATGCATTACAAAGCCCTACTGTGACTCAAATAATCACTTATTTTTAAGGGGGATTTGCTAATGTAGGATTGGTTTCTTATCTTCCCAGCCCCTAGTGAGCCTTTACTGTGCAAATTCGCTGATGGAGGACAAAAGAAGAGGCAGAATCAAAGCAAATACACCCAGAATGGAAGGCCTTGGCCCAGGGAAGGAGAGGTGAGTCCTGATGGCTTATGCCCCAAACTTGGCAGCAGACCTTCCTCTGAAGAGTGGCAAGACAGACACCGGGGCCACGAGGAGATCAAGTCCCGTGGAAAACCAACCGGCTTCTCAGGGCGCACGTGGGCAGGCCTACATTAATGTGCTCAGGATAAAATGATTACTTGAGAAAGGGTCTAGGACTTCAAAATCAACCTCAGTTCTGCCCGACAGTAAGTCTTCTGTCTTGAACCAAACTTGAACCCCACAGATACTCACAGAAAGACTTATTCACAAATAATTGACCTGTGATTGTATACCAGCTATAAAACGGGGGTGGGGGTGGGGGTTACTTAAGAAAACATTTTCAGTGAAATCAATGGTGAGAGTTGAAAGTTTGTGTTTTTTAGAAAGCGAACAAAAATTTAGTTTGAGGTGTTCTACTGGCACACATACGTGTATTTATGCACAAGCCTATGTGTTCCTAAATGTGTTGATATGTATTATGTGCATATATCAATATAAAATATAAAATTGTCTGTTGGGCAAGGAGAAGGAAAAGTTGGTACACACAGGGTTTTGTTTTTCACAACAAGGAGGAAAGGATAGAACTATAAATTATCCATTTACCTTCCTAACACAAAATGGTAGAAAAGTGAGTTTATGGATTAAAGTTCCACTTGTAATGATTTCATTTGGTTATTTTTTTAGTATTATTATAAGAAGCCTAAGAAGAGGTATCTGGGGTTCTGAGAGGTCTTTTGATCTTTGTGAAATGGAACAAAGTTGTTGAATGACGAATAAATGCCGTGTTGTACCAAGGCCGTCATTTCAATGGAAGAGGTTTCTATTCAAAGCACCTCCTTCATCCATTCATCATTTCAGAGGCATCCTATTTGGTGCAACATTTTATACTCTCATCACAGAGAGGACAGCTGTAAGGAAAAAAGTGGGGGGTGGGATTTTTCTCAGCAAATTCTTGAGCCATTTTTCACTTCCTAAGACTGTCATCTGTTTTAAGTATTTTCATGCAGGTCTCAAAACCCCTCTTAAAGAATATAGTCATGTTCAAGTACTGTATAATCTATAATCTTAAGACAAGAAAAAGAGAATCACCACGGAGTGCCCAAAGCTAATGTAAGAAAGGCGACAGTTTCATTATTCTCGATTTTAGAAAGGCAGAATGACCCGTGTGTTTTCAGTGCGCAGGTTAATGGTCAGTGGGCACCTCCACAGTCCCCAGAAGACAGCTGATTTCTGATAACACTTATCACATTGGTCCCGCACCAAACATCCAGAGTCTAGAAAGACTCATTCGATCTTCTAAAATTTGGTTGGGTCAAATGCCCGCTGGAAAGATATCTTGATCGAAACCATAACCCCAAAGCCTCAAGACTGAATTAGGTAATTTAGCACTAATGACTGGGAGTTCAGTTCAGTTCAGTTCAGTCTTCTCAAGAATCAGTTGCAATAACACACCTCGCCTGAGTCTACATTTCCTAGAAACCAAGCCAACAGGCATGAGAGAAATGCAGAATTGGAGCTGCCTCCCTGGTGCTGTGTACGGAATCTGGGGCTCCCGGATAGAGTATGAGGAGAAAGAACGTGCATGCCGTGGGCCTGGAAACACTGTGGTGTTAGGTTTAGGACCCAGAGCACCTTACAATTGAAATGTAGGTTTTAAAAGTGCATTCCTAATCTTTGTTTTCAACAGTTACTTTTTAAGAGCTATACATTTTCCTGTTGAACTATGAAAATCAAGGGACCTTCATAAGTTTATCTGTGACCAATACAAATGTATTCTAAGTATGTAGACACATTCAGAGGAAAGAAATCAGAAAAATAAAGGACATGCACTAAACATATGCTTAGCAGATATCTTGGTTTTGAGATGAGCATGCTAATTTTTACAATGTTATTGTGATCTTAGAAGTCGACACACCAAGAATGTTGGATAACTTGGTATGTCTGTCTTTATATAATTGTTTGCATCCATTTCCCCTTGCATTGCATTTGCTGGAGTAAATTGAAGTATATTAGTATGGTTGATAAAGTTTGACATAATATACATTAATCTTATGTAATCAACTTTATACCAGTAAATTGTAATTGCTATATTTCTTTGTTTCTAAGATGCACATTTTTTGTTGTTGTTTTTCCACATTTTAACACTTCTGAAATCGGTTCTCCTCATATCACCAATGCCCTTATTACAAGATAATTTGTGTTTATTCCTATTAGTCACCTGGGCATTCTACCTGCATTCTCTGCCTGAGGCCTATGAAATGACCACACTGATTGCATGAATTGAAACTTTAACCAAAGCAAGAATGGTGGGTCAGATTCTTAGGGGAAATTATTATTTTTGTCCCCTTCCTTTATCCAGTGCTAAGATAGAGACCTGCAACTTCCCTTGAAGTTTGTTTCTGATGGGTGGTGGTGTTTTTCTTTCACCTTATAGACCTTTCACATCCCAGCTTTATAAGGAGATCATTTTGGGTGTTTGTTTTTGCTTGTTTGATTTGTTACACAGTCGACCTTGAACAAGACAGGTTTGAACTGTGCAAGTCCACTTAGACATTTTTTTTCCAGTAAATATACAGTTGATCCCTCATATTCCCTGGTTTCCCATCCACAGTCTCAACCAGCTGCAGATGGAAATGGTAGTATCAGTCTGCAGTTGGGAATCCACAAATACCGAGGGCCAACTGTATGCATTGTTCTATCCCGTTTTACATCAGGAACTTGAGCATCTGTGGATTTTGGTGTTTGGGGGTTGGGAAGGATCCCGGAACAAATGGATACTTAGATAAATTTGGGGGAGTCCAAAGTTATATGTGAATTTTTTACTGCATGAGGTTGACATTCAATCCCTGTGTTGCTCAAGGTTCAACTGTATACAATAATGGTAAACCTTTCAATCATCATTACTTTAGACAGAGTGAAGGGTAATTTATATTCTGCTGCTTCAGAATTTGAGATAATAACACATATTGAGGCCGTTTACTTCCTTCTTTTGAAGATCAGGTAAAAATGATAGTGTGACTAGCGCTTCTGATGAAATGCTTAAAATATGAAACCAGTGGATTGCAAGCATTTTAGACAATTGATGGACTAATTAAAATATTAGTTTATCATGTAAAACTGTTTCTGGGTGACATTTTGATAATTGTTCTTTAAGTATAGTATAGTGAAATACATTCTGTACCAAAAATAAATTAAAAAATCCAATACTGAAAACCGTATACACATAAACTAATGTAAATTAGTGAGGTTTTGAAATATAAATTTATGGTTGTACATGTTTTTGCATAAGAGAAAAACAAAGGGGGTATTTTTAAGTTTTTAAGTAAGCTCTCAAGTGATAACTTAAACTGAGCAGAATGATCAGGGGTTGGGGCTATTAGGCATTTCTTTCCTGGTGCTCTGGAGTTCTTACTGTTTCATTTCTTAATGCAACAATTTTCAAATTCTTGGTCTCAGTATCCCTTTACTCTTAATAGTTCTTAGTTATTACTTCATTAAAAATAAATTATAAACCCATCACATTATCAAAAATAGTGTATTTTGTTGAAAGTACTATATTTTACAAAGCGAAGATAATTATTTTTTAGAATGACATGGTTTTACATTTTTGAAAATCATGTAATGTCCAGCTTAGTAAAAGATGACCAGATTTGCATATTTGCTTCAGCATTCAACCTGTTGCAGGTTTAAGCATATAAAGAAATTCTAGCTTACCACAGACATGTCATTGAAAATCGCAGGAACTATGGATCTCGCAAAAGGACCTCAAGAACACTTAGAGGGCGTTAGACCACATTTGGAGAACCACTGTCTCAGAGAAGCTTGAGCCAAAGACAGGGCTGATATTTAACTTCCATAAGCCAGAAAAGCCATGCAGCTTGTTAAAATATGAAAATGTTTCTGTAGCATTTGTTACATAACTACTGTCACTGGTCCGTCAGTGAAACTCCATTGCCCCTTCCACTCTGGTGCCTCCTTCAAGACCTCTCATGATCCAGCAAAAATGGGGTGCTGGCTGGCACAGCAGGAGTTCCCCAGAATCCTGCTTCAGAACTTAGATTCTGATTGGCCAGTGCTTATGCCATACTAGTGGTAAATGTTTTAAGGTCACCCCTAGCTCAGAAATGGTCTCACTTTCTCATCTCTGTGACTCTCAAAATATTACATTGGCCAGATATTTGTTTTTATCTAACTCCATGCTCTCAGTTCTTACTTCAGGCAATATGTTATCCAAATGGATCTTGTTAGTGTTTCCCTAATGACTGGTCTGGAATCAGGAATGCATAAAATGAGTCCGAAAATATACCAGGAGCATGAAGAGGAACTCCTGTTGCATTTGCCTGTAATTCCCAAGCATACTATTTTCAATGACTACCAAAAAGCCACCAAATTTGTTTATATGCTTTGCCTCCTAAAATAAAAGCTGATCAAAAAAATACTGAACTGTGTTGTAAAAATGATTGGATCAAATCAAAGGATGGATGTTTCTACTATGATAATGAAAGGCTCTTGACTTTTACATTGGTTTATATTGACTCTTGTGACTACTCTTTGGATTTTCTTCCAAATTTTCAAATATCAGTAAATGCTAAGTTTCAAATCATAGTAGCTGGTGCTATTTCTCCAAATTTTCATGCTGGGATAATATGCTTAAATAGTGCAAATATTATAAACAAAATATTTTTTTTTACTGGCTTTAAAACTCTAATCTAGCTTTTTAAAAACCTTCCCAAGCCCTATACTAATTGAGTCATTAAATGTCATTGATAATGATTGCTTTGGGAATTGCATTTCGAAGAAATAATGTTTTGGCCATGGACAGAAACAAGAGACATGGCAATTAAACAAGAAAACCAACAAAGTACTCGTACATCTAGTGAAAACAACACCAAGCTTTTATTATAAAAACAAAAATCAATAAAATTAGATTTATTGCCTTTATCTTATATACAAATCTCTGCTAGAGTCAATTTAAAAGCAATGAATAATAA